ATAATTGGCTTTCACACCAGGACAAGTTTAAATTTGAGAAAAAAGGATGTTAAGTGAAATCTCTTATATATGTGAGTCCTACTAAATCTTTATTACTTATTACAACTCCATGAGAATAAAATTAACTGTATCTGGCTTTAAGCTGTGATTAGTGAAACTTGCTGTTTGAGGTAAAAGACTCTTAGGACTATAACTAATTTTGTTTTGAGTTTGAATTTGGGTATAGTTGTCTCCATTAAATCAGTATTTGAAATTTCCCTATTGTGTTCCTTTAAGAAGGAATGTTTCCCACCATGTGCCAAAATTTTGTTCATAACACTATCAAACCTGTTAGGCAGAGATATTCTCAGACAAAAATAATTCATTATATGGATGATATACTTTGCAGTTGTTCTACTACTAGCGAACTCTCCTTATTAATGCCTGAGCTTTAACAAGCCCTTCAGTCTCATAGATTTATAATTGCCCCTGAAAAGGTACAAAAGAAATCACCTTTTGTTTACTTTAGACATATTGCTTCACAGTCTACCCCAAAATACTACAAATTAGGCAAGATTCTTTAAAAACTCTCAATAATTTTCAAAAAGTTTCTTAAAGATGTTAATTAGCTTTAGCCTGCCTCGAAGATCGCCACTAATCAATTATTTAATCTTTTTACCACCCTCAGATACCTCACTAAGAATATTTACACTTCAAACGAAAGATGAATTTAAACTAGTAGAATAAAAGATAGCTGAAACCCAATTAATTCCCCTTAATTTGTGGGGGCAGATATTTTACATCAAATGGGAGCTGTTATTTTCTCCCCCCCCAAAAAAAATTTATAGTGGCAGCCACTGTTTGTGCTTCTCCTATCCATAAAGCTGATAAAAATACAATGGAAATCTGATAAACCTGTTTGGGTGGAACAGTGGCTTTTGACAAAAGAGAAGCATTAAAACAATTAAGTTGAACAACAACTTTTAGAAGGATATACAGAACACTTTATAAGTCCTTGGAATTCACCTATTTTTGTTATTAAAAAGAAGTCAGGGAAATGGAGGATGCTTCATGACCTCCGAGCTATTAATGACACTATGGTGACTATGGGTCCCCTTCAATCTGGTCTCCCCTCACCCACTATGATTCCTGTTTCCTGGCCTTTGATAGTTATTGATTTAAAAGATTGCTTTTTTACTATTCCATTGCAAGAAGCTGACAAATGTTGCTTTGCTTTTACAATACCCAGTGTTAATGTAGAACAACCTGCAACTAGGTTTCAATGGAAAGTCCTTCCTCAAGGCATGAAAAACAGCCCTAAAATGTATCAAAATTTTGTTAATAAAGCTATACAACCAATTAGGAAAAAATTTCCAACGCAAAAATAATACATATATGGATGACATACTTTGTAGCTGTTCCACTAAAAATGAACTCACACATTTATTACCTCAGCTTCAATTAGATTTACAGGAATATGGGCTTATTATCCTCCTAGAAAAAGTTCAAGAAAAATCTCCATTTTCCTACCTGGGTCATATTGTCACCGAAACAACGGTGAAGCCACAAAAAGTACACTTACTGTCTTAATTCTTTAAAAACACTTAATGATTTTCAAAACCTCTTAGGCTATTAATTGGCTTTGACCAGCACTCCAAATTACTACAGAACAATTGGCTAATCTCTTTTTTACACTTAGAGTAGATCTGATCTAAATTCCCCTAGGACATTAACTCCTGAGGCAAAAAAAGGAGCTTTAATTAGTGGAACAGAAAATTTCTGAAGCTCAACTCACCCGTATTTCTTTAAATGAAGAGGTACAAGGCTCTATTCTTAGTACTCCAGTGTCTCTTACAGGAGTTTTATTTCAATCTTCTGGAGTCTTAGAATGGATTCACCTCCCTCATCAATTCCCCAATTCTATAACTCCTTATCCTACAATGGTAGCTTATCTAGTCATAAAACTTCATAAAAGATATCTTCAACTTACGGGAAATTTACTTTCTGTTTTTCATCAACCTTATAATAAAAAACAAAAAGACACTCTCGTTTCCTCTTCAGAGGATTGGCAAATTGCTATTACTAATTTTTCTGGCCATATTGATAATCACTTACCATCTCTCAAGATGTTAACCTTTTTTTTTTTTTACTAATTATTCATGGGTATTTCCAAAAATTGTTAGATCTAACCCCATTCCTTCAGCACCCAATGCATAGAGTCAATATAGTTTCCAAATAAGATTCACCTTTGGCAAACTCTTCCCTTTGGAGATTGGAGGAGAATGCTTCTTCCTTCCACAGCCCCTGTCCCCAAGTGCTCACCGCTTTTACTGACAGCTTAAGTAATGAAAAAGCTGGTTATTATATTTTTCAGCATCGTCACAAGGTAATTCAAATGTCCTTTTCCTTTGCCCAGGAGGCAGAACTTTTTGTTCTGATTCTCCTTTTTCAAAAAATTTTTCTAAATCTCTTACTGAAAGTAATGCCATTATTGATTCTCAACTATAATTCTATCCAACACTTTTAACCCCAACCGTACAAAAAACTATTAATTCTCATTCCCAGTTTCACCAAAATGCTAGCACTTAACTTTTTATTGAGCTTTTATTCAGTCTTTTATTAACTATATTCTACCAATGCAGCCACCTTAATTGTAGAGAGGATAACATTTTGTGACTATTTTTGAATAAATAAACTCCTGCAGTATTAGAAAGATAGTATATTTTTTTTAAAAAGGCTGTTTCAAATGTATCACTTTTATTGACCCAGAGGCTTTTCTCCCAAACATATTTAGCAAATGAATATAACTCATAGGCCTTCTTTTAAAAAGCTTTCTTATATTCATGTTACAGTTGATATTTTTTCTTCTTACTTTTGCCACTTCACAAACAAGTGGAACAATTAAACGTGTAATCAATTATATTTTACAAGCCTTTGGGGTTATGGGTGTACCCAAACAAATTAAAACAGATAATGCCCCTGCTTACGTTAGCAAAGCATTTTCTTCCTTTTATGCTTTTTATAACATTTCTCTGATCACAGGCATTCTACATAATTAAAAACAAAGATATTAAAACTATTCTTCTTAAACAAAAAAGGGGTGTCTGGGCTATTACTCCTCATCAACAAGTGGCTATTAAATTTTTTAAATATTAACAAAGATGGGTACACTCCAGGCGAAAAACATCTTGAGAAAAATAAACATCCAGAGGCCCAGATCCATTACTAGCGAGGGGACAAGGTATGCTTGTATTTTTTCAGAAAACTTTGATAAACCTGTCAGGATACCGGAGAAAAATGTCCGAACGTGTATCACAACTCACAGCTCGAATGCAGAGTATGAGGATTCGGGGAAAGCACAGAAGGAGTGGATCTTCAGTGACGAGTCGCCCTCCCACATGGGGTCAAGTGAAAGCTCCCTTTCATCGAGCAATGGAAACTCCTGAACTTGTAGTTTTAGCAATGGTAGCTTTACTTTCTGCTCAAGTGTGTAATGTACAGAGTGCTCAGCACTGGACTTATTTTCCTTTTCCACCCTGGTTGTGACCCCTCACGTATATGGACAAATTAGGAACTATATATACTAATAACACTCATATATTCGGAGGCCAAGAATACCCCTTCCTCCAGGACAGAGCCAATGTTACAATTACCTTCAGATCTCTAGCATAGGACACTTATGTTTTCAGAAGTTAGCAAAATACTGAACCCTGTCTTTTTCTTGTTACATCATTTTGTAATACCAGTTTATCTAATGGATATGTAAATTTTACTCAATCTAATATTACTTTTGAATAGAATGTACCTTGTGTCAATTGTACTCTCAAACAACGTATTGATAATAATGACTATATTGTATTTTTGATAGAACAATCATCATTTGCTATTTTCCCTACTAACATCTCACATGAATAGCTCCAGAACTCTGGTGAACATGCTCCTCAAATTATTACTTCCTCCTTAAGTCAATCAAAACAATTTATTGGTCTCCTTATTACTGATTTAATCATTGTTGCTTCTCTTATTGTATCTACTACTGTTTCATTATTGTGCTACAATCTGAATTTAAACTGCAATTTGTAAATGACTTAGCAAAAATATGTTAGCACTTAAAGCACAGAAGCTATTGATAGAGATATATTGTATAAAGTCAATTTATTAGAGCAATCAGTATTGTATTTAGGAGATGAGTTAGAAACTGAAAACAAGGTTGCCATTGCAATGTGATTATAGGTATTCATATATTTGTGTTACTCCACTACCCTATAATGCATTAGATCCTAATATCTCATGGGTTAAGATACATGCCCGCCTACTGGGGGCCTACTGTGATTCTAATATTACCCTCAATATTAATACCCTTCATGATATTACATCCAACATTGAAAATAGTCCCCATTCTGGGATTGACCCAAATAAAATAGCAGGATACTATTTTGTCTACATTACACCAACTTTCACCCTTTTCAAGTACATCCTTGCTTTTGCATATGCTCCCCTATGGCATTGGCCTAATTTGTTTTTGTTTTTGTTTCCCATTATTTTTAAGATTCATAAATGCTGCCATCAAACCAATAATGAGTCAATTGCACGAACTTAAATTAACAAATAAAAAGGGAGGAGATGTGGGAGGCTGAGTCCTTACGGAAAATCTCTAAGTCCTTATAGACTTTAGGGGTCATCACATATAGAGGCTTGCCTTGGGATAAACGCTCCCATGACTCTTGTCCTAGCTCCATTTGTTATGGTTTGTTGATTCTAAGTTCTTACTCATGCCCAGCCTTGAGACTAGGTGGCTGACTCGGGTAGACAATGCTAAGAACCGGGCAGGGAAACAATAGATATGAAATTTGGCATTAAAACCACTTTCTCATGAGAAAATGAGGATCTTTAGCTGCTTAGATTGTTTATGTTATTAATTAGCACTTATAGATCACTTCTCACGGTACAAAGCTGTTTTCTATAGTATAAAATCTTGTGACCTCTGAAAATAAACCAGTTTTTATCATTCTCAGACTCACCTAGCCCGACTTTTCTTTCTCCAGTTCCCCTTCCCCTTTTTCTTCACTGCTCTGTCGCACATCACGTCAGCTGCTGGCACACCATAATGCAAGAAATAATCAAAGAAAATTGTCCAGAACTCCTAAACACAGAAATCAAAGTACCAATCAAAAGAATCCACAAATTGATTTTGGGGGCAGGCGGGGAAATATGCTACAAAATCTAACTCATAATGGTTATATTTAATAATTCTAATGACAAATAAGTAATTCTGCTAATGACCAGGAGAAAGATCTTCAGTATAAAGGAAAGGACATTCAAATAACACAAGACTATTCTGCACCCACAAGAAACTGCAGGAGAAAATGCAATAATGTTTTCTGCAGAACAAAGATGCTCAAACTGAAGTGATACATATATGGGAAACCTCAGCTTATCCATTAATTAAAAAAGATATGAATATTCAATTTAAAAATATTTAAGGCATTTTTACAAAGAAAACCAAATCTGAACAAATTATTTGCTTTTCACACACTTCCAGATAACAAAAATAAATACAGGGCAGGCCAATACATAACAGCAACAGAGAACCAAAATACAGAGACCATTCAGAGACTTCTTTCTAAAAGTATGCAAAGAGACAAGGGTGAAAGCGAAAGTCAAATAGAAGTTATGGTAGAGAAACATACATAAAAAGCAAAGGCTAAACTTCACAACACCCTAGCTACAGGTGAATCAATGTTTTTTATGCAATTGAATCATAGAAAAGGGTGAAGGGAAGAAGATAGAGAAAGTATGTGATGTGCTCTAATCAAATCAGAGGTTAACAACGAAGGGAAAATAATTCTAGTAGTCTTCAGGAAGAAGAGAGCCTAAAGGAGAATGGGTAAGAAGGCAAAGAGAGAGATTGAAGTGGGGGGCAGGGAGGGGTAAGGGAAGGGACTCTTTATTCTGTCATGGGAAGGGTACCACTAGTGAAGTCTCCATTGGAAGAAGAGGGATATTCTAGAAAGGGAGATGGAAATCTTAAGATGGATTTGGAGCTTGAAGAGATTATTCATTCTGCTTCTGGAAAAGGGTAAACTACAGCTCATATTCAGAAGAGTGAGAGGGCATGGACCCAGGGAAGATATTTCAAGGTGAATGAAAAAAATAATCACAGGAAAGGAAAAAGGCTATAAAGAACAACCCAATCAGGGACATAGGAAAATTCTTTCCATGGTGCAATATCATTGGAAACAACATGTAATGGGAATGTAGGGTGTTATGTGCCCCCAATTCCTAGCCTACAACACCCTAGAACCCAAGGAAGCAACCACCCTCTAGGGGACTCAGTATGCTATTGTGAGGTCAAGTTAGAAGAGTAGAGTAGTTCAGAAGGGTGCTACATAGAAAAACCAGCCCAGATTACATGATAGGGACCCTAGTGGATATTACTAACACGTTAGCAACTATTTAGCATCGTTGGAAGAATGTTGGGCCTTTGTTTCATGGAGTAGCTTAGAATCATTAAGTGCACTGTGCAACTTCTCAAAAGCAACCCAGCCCATTTGCTTATTATTCAATTCTATGCTCAGTTAATTGTCCAACTCTGGTGTCCGAGATATGTGAATGATGATTAAGCTCTTTGGGCTGCTATCCTATCCACCTGGTTTTGCCTTTAGGGAACATTAGGGCTCATTCTCAGCTCTCCAAATATCTATATCTTGGTGTGATCAATACAATATTAACTAAAAACAGGAGTGCCTGGAGGCCCTTATCGACTGCAGGGAATGGCTCTCCTATTGGGACTCTGAAGGCTATCCTCCTTGAGAATGATGTATTCTTTTCAAGAGCATATCTCTCCCTGTTTCATGCACTCTGTAAACTCTGTTCCCTGTAGGATCAACTATAAAATCCTCTGTCTGGAATTTAAAGCCCTCATCAATCTGGCACCTCATTTTTGTAACCTTCTTACACTTTGCTCCCCTCCACGAACACCACAATCTAGATACACTGTTCCTCACACAAAGCACTATAGCAGGTGCACTTGGAATTTTCCCTGGCATCTCCTGTACCTGAAATGCTCTCTCTACTCACTTCTGACTCCTAACTTCCCTGGTCTCCTTCAAGACTCAGTTTAAATGCCAACTTCTGCAAGAGAGGATTTTCCCAATGGCTATAGTCTCCCCTCTGAAATCATCTATACACATTTTGTATAGAACTTGTATGTTCCTAGTTATAGAGATGCTGTCTCCCACATTTGAGCATGAGCTTCTTGAGGTAAGAGACATTTTTTTTTTACTTCCTCAGCACTTATGTGACTGGCAATAGTAAACAATAAATGTTTGATGACTGAGTAACTGAGTGATTGATTTCAAGGAAGTTATAATCTTTGTACATGGATGGGAGACACTTGTTTTGGAGATAAACCTTCAAGGTGCCATCTTGCCCTGCTACATCAAATATATTTTTTAATAGTCAACAAATGAGCACATTCGAAAAATATGTTTTCAGTACCTTTGGTGCCATTATGTGATTATAAACATGTAGTCTGCTACAGGCAGAGGTGTGCTGGTAAATGTTTAATAACTAGCTCTCTGAAAATGAGTGTGCATGACACACTTGTGCATTTAAACCTGCATTATTAACATGTTCTCCTTCACTTTCTTAAGTCCAAACGATCAACAAAACAGTAAATCAGGCCCTAAGTGTAGCATTTACCAATTTGCTAGGTATAAATGCTCAATACCGAAATTTTAACTATTGTCTCTCAAGAGCTGATAGCAGTCTCTAGCACACCCCTGACTATAGGAATAGGTTCGCCAAAGTCCACCTTCTCCCTTCTGTGGTAGGATCAACACCTGCCCTCTAAGATAGGCTTTTCTTTCTTTTTTTTTGCAGGGGGGGATAAGGAGGAAATTAGAGTTCAGTGACTTGTGCAGGGTCACAGAGTAAATATCTGAAGCCGTATTTGAATTCAGGTCCTTCTGATTTCAAGGCCAGTGCTCTATCTACTGTGCAACCTAGCTGCCACTGATAATTTTTCTTTAAAATATGTTGAAACTGTCTTCAAGGCTTGATAGGCTTAGGAGACTAAGTTTTGGACTACTGACATAGCCTTCTGATGGCCTAAATACAAAAGCCAGACCAAGAAAAGGCAGGAGCTCTCATTCAGGCCAGGCTGTTGTGCCAGCTTGGCTAACACAGAGGCTGGGAATCTGAGCTCAAAGGAACCAATGATGTATCCTTGCTGAATATACCTTCCCTGCTATACCTAAACACATTGTTAGACATTCTAAAAGTATCTCATTTTGTTCTGTTTCTGAACCTGAAGCTCCAGACTGGCCTGAATCAGGCCTAGCTCGACCCATTTGGAGAGGTGAGCCTCAGTGGAGCAGAATGGTCTCACTGCATTAGGAGAAGGGTAATGCAGAAGAAGGTGAGTGACCACTATGTGTCTGGTGATACTTACTGACCATTTTAGTGGGTAGTCAGCAGCTAGGAAGAGGTGCCAATGTGTTCTATGTTTCAAGGAGAGAGTTTTAAAACTTTAAATGGAGAAGCACCATATACTCTCATTGCCTAGAACCATGATTCTCTTTCTCTCTGGGACTGTCAGAGAGGGTTGGATGACGGACCCCTGCATGGGCCACAGCATGGTGTGCAGTAGTGTGCCATGGCAGCATTCCGATTGGCACACACAATCGGCACTCACCCCCAGAAGTAGCACTCAGTGCCTGTGGCATCTCCAATCGAAGGTCCTAGTGGGATGGGCAATGGCGTAGGCAGTTTCAAAGTGCAGCACAGCCATTTACCTTGTGTAATGTGATAAGAATTAGTTCCCACACACATTGCTGCTAGGATTTAGGGGTCATGGAACATTGTTTTTTGCCCAGAGAAGAATTTCAACACCAACAGGTATGATAGGGAAATGTAGGAAGGGGACACTGGCTTCCAAGTAAGCTGCAAATTCAGCTCCATTGGCCTAACTGTAGTTACTCCAACATGCCATGCCATACCTAACTGCTTTTCACTGTCCCCCATGTCTGGAATGGTTTGCCCTTTTCCGTCTGCCTCTTAATTCCCCTGGCTTCATTCAAAACCCAGTCTCTATAGGAGGATTTCTTCTCCCCCTCCTCAGCTACTTCCCTCTGAGTGTGCATTCCATTCATACACTACAGATCTATGTACATTGTTATCTATATGTTGTTTCCCCATGACAGTGTGATCTCATTAGGAGCATAGACTGTAATTTTCCATATTTTCTTTGTATCCTCATTGCTTAGCATAGTGCCTGACACTGCTTATTAAGTATGTGTTGACTGGCTGACTGAGTGACTGTCAAGCATGTCAAGGTGGATTTACAATTGAGCATAAAGAGATGCCCCCTCAGTAGCCTTTAAAAGAAGTTACTTCTAATCTCACTCTCAAAAGTTTAGCTTGGGCTTCCTGTAATGATCCCTTGGACTTTCTGATGGGCTACAAGGATTTCTCTCTTCTCTCCCCAGAAACAGCAAATGAGACCTATGAGGCCACAGCAGAAAGGACATGTTTGCTAAAGTAATTGTGAATACATTTCACATGATTACACATATATAACCTATCTCAAGTTGCTTATCATCTTAGGGAGGGGAGACATGAGGAAGAGAAGGAAAAAAATTTGGAACTTTAGATGCAATTGGCAAAAAATAAAATACACTAAAAATTAGATTCTGAGCTTGATTCTCAACCCCCTGGCTGCTGTAGCTGATGCTTTGTCTGTTTTGTGTTTCTTTGTGAGCCAGTCCCCAAACAGTGGCGGTCCCAGAATGGATATTTCTAGGCTTGTGAATCTGAGAGGTTGAGAGTTACTGGGTTTTAGGCAGTGAGAGGTGCTTCCCACAACTACGGCTTTCTCAGAAATGACCACTGTTAGTGGCCTGCAGGCCACAGGATCTGAGAAGTCAGAAGGGACTGCAATGCCCATGTTGTCCAACCCATAATGAAAAGAATCCTCTTTAAGCATACATTCTGCAAATGGCCATCCAACCTCTACTTGAAGGCTTCTAAGGAAGGGGAACCCCTTACCATTCAGGGGAGCTCTTTCTACTTTGGAACAGCTCTACTGGCTAGAAAATTTTCCTTAATCTCAAGACCATCGTTTTCTCTGTGCAGCCTCTA